AGCATGGCTGGCTGGGGAATTCTGGGAGTTGAAGGCCACACGTCTTCAAGCTGCCAAGGTTGAGAAACACTGATCTAAGCTAGTGGATAATCATCCAGAGCATGAAATTGACATGATCTTTTGCCCTTAGCAAGAGTTTTTCTACCGTAGGGCCTTTCACTCACAAATGAGTGAAGAAAACTTTGATCCGCTGTGTATTTCATCAATTAGCCCAACACTTTTTTTGATCCCAGGCCCTGCCCTAAAAAATCATGTGCATTCATGCTGGTATTCAACACATGTTGACATGTCCTCCTTTTTTCTTCTTTCTGCATATTTATGTTAATCTCTAGTTCTGACTCAGCCATCGGAGTCAACCCCAGTGATCTCATCTCCAAATAATCCTGCTGCAACTTCACACCGGAGATGTATATTCCGAAGCCAAGTTTATTTCCAAAAGAAGAAACTATGCTACAAGATTGCAGTCCTGAGCACAACATCAACAGCATTAAACCTTAGCAGGCTGTTTCATCTGCCGGGGAGAGACTTGAGCGAGAAGCTGGATTCCGATCTTCCAATCTTCCTTCCGACTACCTCTTCCCAGATAGCCTCCTGCAAGCCCCAATCTTTTAAAAACTCAGTTTCCCCATCTGTAAAATGAGCGGAGGGGTTGCTGAAGTGGAGGGAGAAGCGGGTGGGAGGCCTAAGGAAGGCTTGTGAAACTTTTGGGAAGAGATGCTTGCTCAGAAACGATGGGGTTGCAAAGGAAGGGGGCTTGTTTTCCTAAAGCATTGGCAGGGAGCTCCAGACTTTTACAATCCAAGAGTCAAACCAGTTCATCTCCCCCCGCCCCGACCCTGGTCGCCTCGCTGAACTCCTTCGGATTATCCAGCCGCCACACACCCACACCCCGTTCCCCCCCCCTTTCCTGGGACGACGGTGGGGTCAAAGGGGGCTGCTGGCATTCCTTCCCACCCTCCAGGAAAGGCGCAAGAACCGCCCCGGAGCGCAGGGAGCTGAGTCCTCGTCCCGCAGAGCTGCGCCAAAGCCCGGCGCGAAGGCTGGCGAGGCAGGGGGGAAAGGGGGCGAGGGCACCGCGGGCGCGTGGCCTGGGCGGAGCGGCGGGCCTCGCAGGGCGGCAGCGGCGCGTTGTCTCTTTAAGCCACCGCCGGGGCGGCGAGGGAGGGCGGGGTTGCGGCT